CATTTGTTCTTTGAGATTGTAAAATATGTTTTCTTAAAGATAAAGAAGAGGAGCCTATTTCAGTTGACTTGCTTTTCCTCTGCTTTTATATACTATGCTTCTCTGATACAAAGGCCTTCAGCCCAGCTGGAAGACAGATCACTCTGAAAGTGTGTCATGTAAAACATTAACAGGCTTTTGTGCATTGTTAGCATCGTTAAATATAGTCCAGTGATACCGCAGTGGAAACACCTCTTGCAAACAGTTTCTGGGGCCTATTTAGCCAGGGCTGCTATGCAGCGTGCAGACTGCAGCACCGTAGTGTGTTGTGTAGACTTTGAAGACAACTGCAGAAACAAAGTGCTAAAGCTGGTCAGAGCAAAAAGTAGCAGCTACGTCTGTCCCAGGCTCCGGGCTGACTGAGAAGCAAAACCAAGAAATGGAAAAACATCTATCTTCAATTCTCTCTGTAATGTGTTTCAGCCTTATCTCAACCTGGCAACAAATGCACAAACCCATCATCCTCTAGCGTACGTCTTTTGAGGTTTTCTCTCAGGCGTTACCTACGTCCAGTAAATTATCTATGTCCACACACCTTCCACAGTCACCTGCTATTGTGCTGCCCGATGTTTGAAGTGACAAATAAGAACTCTTCAGTATTAAAATACTTTCTTTTTTAATGTCTCTGAAGTATTTTTCCTCTCTGTTTCAGAGGAAACGATGTTCTGAAATGTGTGCAGAGGCCAGAGAATGGGCATATTCCAGACTTACATCTATAAAAGAGAAACTAGGATTTGTGTGCTTGTGAGCGTATGGACATGCTGGCACTGAAGTCAGTGACTTATTTGCCTGAGCTGAGCCCTTTGCTTTTGTATTCCTACTGTAATAAGCTACGCACAAAGTATCCCATGCAGACCGTTATGATGGAATGGTACTCCAGAGGACGTAGTGAAGTGTCTGCTGTTTCCCAGGAATAATCCCAAGCACTAATTGTTCCCACAGCCTAATGATATGTGGCATTTTGTTTAGGATCTAATGTAGCACAATAAGAAACCACTCTTCTGCTACCAGAAACAAGGGACTCACAACACTGCGTGCCAACAGTGACATTTCAGCTTTGCTTCCCTTGTTAGAATGCTTTTTTTAACTTTGTTTTTTCTTTTTTTTTTTTTCCTTTTTCTTAGTTTCCACCCCGCCTCCCCTGCAGGATACAACGCATCTCAATGTGCATAGATTAATGTAGTTTGAAAATGAGCTCTAGAGGTCATCGATCCTAACTTCCTGCTCACAGCAGGGCTAGCTTCTAATATGCATAGTGTATTTACACGTGGTAAAGAAAGGTAGGGGACATTTTCCTGTTTCCAGAATTTGCTCACATCAATATCTTATCCTTAATCTAGCATATGTAGTTTTTCAGTTAATCACTTTCACAATATTTATGCAAGGAACTTGGACATGCTAGAAGGTAAGCCTTTGATTTTAGAAGGCTTGTTGGGGCCATTGGTTTAATTCTTCACTGGGATGAAGGCAAAGACTTGTGAAAAAATCATACAATAAAATAGAAAAAACCACCTCATTTATCTTGTTAAGTAGTTATTTGCAATATGGAAAAAATACTTTTTTTCAGATTCAAATAGTCTGTACAGTGGTAATTTGTTCAAGTCTCAAAGGGAAGAAACAATTGTCTGGTTTATCTTTACATGGTTCATTTGCCTTTGTCATGCTCCCTGTTATTTACAAGCTCTCTCAACAGTTTTGTTCCAGGCTTCTTTTTTCTTCTATTTTCTTTTCAATTAAAAAATATTCTTTCCCTCTAATCATATTCAGTGCCTGAAATCTCTTTAGTTTTCCTGGTATTTTCTTCCTCAGGATGATGCCTTGGAATGAATTCGTTATACTTTACCGTATGAATTAGAATATTTTGGGTTCTGTCATAGACATAAAGTTGAAAGAGAATTTGGAATTACTCTGATGTTTAATTGGTATAGAAGCATGATGTGTAGGAACAACTTCCAAAAGCTGACACACTTTTTGCTCATTTCATTCATTCCTTTATTTAACTCTGTTGTTCAGCTGTGATTATTACTTTCTTCGGTATTGTTTTCTGATTAATCTTTATAATTATTAGGAATCACCATATGATTTCTTTGTTAATCCAGATAATGAGGTGCAAATGGTAAAGCTTAAGAGTTCTTTCTCTGATAATGTCAAGAAGTACAGGAGAATATTTTCTGCAGCAGACCTGTAGAACTGCAGAAGTGCAGGACTTTTGTCACATCTGTTTGTACCAAAGGGAAGTGAGATCCTCCTCTCCTCTAGACTATTGTGAGTAATAGGCAGTTCATCATGAGCTCTGAAAATGATAATTACTTTGGAATAAAGGACCATAAACTCTGGGGAAGGAAACAAGCTAATTATTGCTGTCTTTGCTTTGTAGCATTTTCTTGGAAATGCATCCATTCGTTTTGTTAGATTTGGAAATACTGCTCTTTCCTCTTCCTTTTTCTTTTCTGTATGCATCGATCCTTTTGTTTACATGCCAACGACTTGCCTTAGTAGCTAATTCTTCATATTTATTGTATGTTTGTGAAAGACAATCATGCCTCATTACCCTCTTTTTGTTTCCACTCTGGAAGCCAATACTTGTTCTTTCATGCCTTCTTCCCCCACCATCCCCCACCCCCTATCATCGCAGAAAGTTTGAATGTTTTCTTCTGGATTGTTTTTGTCAGGTCTTTAGAAATGAAAAACATTCACATTTCCTCACTCTTTTCACCTGCAACAGTGTCCTGCTGGTTTCTCAATAGTTCTTGATGGCTTTGTTCTTTAAAACTAGCTCTCTGTTCCCAAGATGAAGTCCATCACAGACTAGTGAAAGGTAATATCACCACTTACATGGAGATTGCATCCATTCTCTGCAGGCTCTTTGCCATCTTGTTTGCTTTTCCTTGCAAGGTTGCAGCAGAAAAAAGGGACTAAAAGGTTCCAATTACTTACCTGCTATTTCCCTCCTGTTGCTCACAAGCCTATTTTGACTTTGTGCTACTTACACTGATTTATTTATTACCCACAGTTCACAACTGTAATCCCAGTCTGTATTCTAAGTGGTCTTCCTCAAATGCTCTTATGATTTTTAGTACCTCTCCTCAGGTGTATTACACCCTATTTGAAAACCTACATTACCCGAACTTGTTCAACAAGTGATACTTTGACAGGGCATGCAAGTTAGCACTTTTCCTGTACGTGTCTTAAGAGATGAGGTAGGAGACCTCAAGCACAGAGCTCGTTGCCTTATTGATGTTTTAAGACTTGGGTCATAAGATCCTGTTGGAGTGGGACTTGTCAGATGATGCCCAGAAAGTCTGAAGTGGATGCATTAGACTAGCTGGGCGTGTCCTGTAGTAGTTCTGTGTGCGTAATGTAGGTTTGCTCTGCCTGTTCCTGAGCGCTTGTGCCTGATTTTTTTCTATCATTTGCACTCTCTCCTTTTGGGAAATGGCAGAACGTGGTTGAGGAATTGAAGTCTGGATCTAGATGTGTAGCCTCGAAACCCTAGTTCCTTTTTTCCCCCATTGTAGTTGCCAGAAGTTGTTGCTTGAAAGTTGAAATCATGTTCTTCATCAGCTGTAAAGCATTCCTTATTCACAAGTCACACCTGGAAACAGAAACATCACAGATTTCTCCACCACCAGTGCTGTCCATTCCTGTCCTGGACCGATTGTGTAGAAATGAGAAAATAGTTTAGTTTCTGTGTCTGCTCATTTCTTGATCTCGTCACCCTCCTCTCTCTTCATCAAAAAAAAAAAAAAAAGATCAATATCTACCTTAATTATGGTCAGTGGCATTGTGCGAAATATCTCTGGCCAATATTTTCAAACTGCATCTTTAATGTAAGGAGATCTCTGATACTGAGACTTGCTTCATTCTTCATTGGTTATGCATAGATGGCTGTGAAAGGCAGAAGAGCTGGATAGGTCTGTGCGTGCAGAGCCCCACAGTTATCGGTGCTTCCCCTGCACATCGTTAACAGACCAGTGGTGACCCCTGAGCTATAGTAGATGTCTAGAATAGATTTATGAAACCATACTGCCTTTACTGAGCTTTGAATTAAAAGGCAGTTTGTACATGAACGTCTGTCACAATGTTTGCAGGTTGACAGTGAGCTGTTACAAAAATATTTGGCAACCACTGTGATAAAGGTTTTCTCTAAATGTAATACATTTAAACATTTCATACAAATATTTACAGCATCTACAGTATCTAGAGCCTTTGTCTCTGATGCACTTGATGTTAACAGCACTCCTTGTGTGCTACCAGTGGAAAACCAGACATAAAATGATTGATTGACTCAGAGGAAAATTATTAAAAGCACCTGAGTAATTTAGAAATCTAAGTCAAAAGTGACTTAAGCATTGAAAAATAAGGCTTCGACTAGGCAATTAGGAAAAAAAAACCTCAGGGCTTTCTCAAATGTTTCTATAAATGATAAATAAATAACAAGAACATCTTGTGAGGTTGTGTTCCCTGTTCTCCTCATGATTCAGTGATTGACGAAGACTTTTAGTTACTGGACATGAGTGACATTCTTCTGTATTTGAGGTTCTGCTACCCAGGTCAACTGAGCTGAAAATACATACCCTGGTTGTATGTGCATACCTGCACACGTATCATCAAGTTCCACTTGAAGAACGTTGATTTTCTTGAGGTTTCCCTCTCTCTCTTCCTCACACATTGCTTTTTAAGAAGGGCACATGTTGCCCTTGCTCTGCCTTAAGCCTTACTAGCTCCTGAAACCATTTTGCTGAAGTTCAATTTACTTAGATGAAGCTTCAGGAAAAACACTGGTTTGGCTTTTGTGCATCGACCAGAGAAGTTTGCTTTAAAACAGTTGGCAGGCTGCAGGGGAAAGGCAATGATGTGCAGTGTTGACTGTCAGCAGGGGATAACTTGCCTTAAAAGACAAAAGCCTTAATGCCTGGGAAAATGACAGCTTATCTGATTGCTCTGTAATCTCTTTTCAGCACTGGCTGACAGAACTGGAGATCTTCGCTATGATCTTCGCAGCTGCCATCCATGACTATGAACACACTGGAACCACCAACAACTTTCACATCCAGACACGGTGAGGCCACTATAAATCATGATGAAGGGTTGGGAAATGGAGGGGAAAACCTTTGGAGAATAATAGCACAGCCACCTAGAAAAGTGCAGGAGCTTTTGCTTTCAAGTGTTACAGGAGGAAAGTTCACTTCCTTAGGTTGCATTTAATTTTCTCTTGTTCAACCAGTTACAATAGAATGCATGTATTCTAGCTTCCTGAGCATTGTTTCATATTAATACTCAGGAAAAAGGAAGGTCCCAAAATATTTCTGTGTAAAGTTGCCAAAGACAAATTGCTGTACAGAGTGATGTATTTTGATGAAGGTATAGTTTTGGAGGAGATACTATAATTCAACAGTTTTTTCTCCTTGTTGAATTTGAAGAATCAAACATTAACTGCGTAAATTAAGAATTCAACAATATCTGTATTCATCAGTGAACACCAATACTACACATACTATTTTTACTTCAGGGGAAAACCACACCTGCAGCAAGGGGGTATGTTTACCATTACCTGTTCAGGGATATAATTTTTTAAAGCTTTGTAAATTGCTAGACAGTAATTAGCTGATCACAAACTAGACTGGACTGGCGTATTTTTTGAACTCAGAATCTTCTATAAGGCTTTTGGGTTGGTGGAAGAGAGAAGGAGAAGATGAAGATGGCAGCAAAATTCAGAAGTGTGCAAAGATTGTGAAGTCTCTAGTTGCAGTGACAATTGGGCATCTAGCATCTGTGTATTATTTTGGCAATGGGAGTGTACTGATAGCAATGACAAAATGTCTAGATGTCCTCAACTGACACCGCACACTTGGGCATTTCTAAGATGCATTGCATCTTACCCTAAATTAGATGTCTGGAGTATGTTAGCTGAATCATGCTGTGTATCACAGATATATAAAGGTTGCTAGGATAAATCACACATATGCTCAGGAAAGCTTGGGAACATAGAAGGAAGTTTCTGTCTCTGTTCTGGGCCAAGCCACACTCCACTTCTTGCAGCTTCATGCATGAAGAATTAGGGTTCTGCTGTATTTCCCAAGTACTTATAGAAGAATTCAAGGAAGGACAGTTGTAATTTAATTTCTGAAACACTGAACATCAGAGGGTGTAAAGTGTCAGGGGAGAAAAATATACACTGCTCTCTGGGAAGCAGAACTGAGTGGGGACTGTAGCAAATCATACTCGCCCTCTGTTGCCATTAACTTCCAGCAAGAACTTTGTCTTCAGACCAGTTTAGCCATTCGTCAATCTCAGGTCTATGCCCTGGAGCTTAAAATAAGGTGTGAAGTACCTTTGGTCTTACTCTATCCCACTGGCAATTGCCCTTCTGGACAGCATAGTCTAGCACACAGATGACAGAAAGCAGTTCGGTTATATCTTGCTTACAGCCAGTTTGCTGTTCTGGAAACAATATTGGGACACATCTTGCAATTGCTTACTTGGGTACACTCAGTGTTTAATATGAAAGCAACATGCTCAAGAGCTGGAAAAGAGCCTTGTGATTCAACTCTAAATTTATGTAGCTCTCTCAGCTCTCAGCATTTTTTTCAAGTATGTAACAAAGAGACTAGGTGAGTCTCAGCTGATGAAATAGATTTTGCAGTGAATTTTGATCTTTAGTTTTCTTTTACTGAATAACAGCAATGAACGAAGTATTAAAAGTGCTCTTAAAATGCTCATATCTGTGCTATAGAACTAATTTCTGTAGCTGATCAAAGGAAAACTTCTGAATGTGAGACTCTTTAGACAGGGAAGAAACATAACCTTTCCTATGTTTTCTTTTAAATGCTAGGTCAGACTCAGCCATTCTATACAATGACCGGTCTGTGCTTGAAAATCACCACGTTAGTGCGGCATATCGGCTTTTGCAAGATGATGAAGAGATGAATATTTTATCTAATCTCTCAAAGGACGACTGGAGGTAAAAATTAACATGGTGGCTGCCTAGGAACATTGCAGCATCACCATAGACTGTTATTACCTTGTTTGAATGGTAATATGCATTACTGTATATTGCATATTAATATTCTACTGCTGCAAGAAAAAGAGCTTTAGAAGGTGTTTGTCTTGCTTATTTCTGCTTTCGGTTTTCACCTCTGGTAGTGAGACTAGACTTCGTGACAATGGATTACAATATACAAATTGACTCCCATCTAATTTCTAAGACTCACAGAGACACGCTTTGTACACATCCGTTTGTAATTGAGTGTAGAGGTAGCCTGTTGTTTGTTCATCCTAAAGCATAAACATAACCTTTGTCTACTTTGACACTCCCTGCCTGGAAATTATAAATGGGACTTAATACAAAAAAGAATCCGGTCCAAGGAGCATAAATCAGTGTACTATATGCCAAGGTGATGTAAGAAGCTGTAATTTAAAATAAGCCTCATGCAACATATGATTTATGTGCCAAAATCAGCCCATGATTTGCTTTCCAATAGCAGGCAGTTCAAACTGATGAGGGCTTTCTGGTTTTATGGGGTTTTTTTGAACTCCAAGGGGTGGTACTTTAAAAATAGCCCAGTGTGCTAGACAGGAAGAATCCTGCTCCATGGTCTTTCTCATGGGAGGGGAAGCAACTTGTGAGATCTTACATGACGCACAGTGCCTCCTGCATACGCTTAAATGTGATACAGTGCTGAGCAGTCAGTTCATCTTATGTTAATACAAACATGGGGAAATGAGCCCTTCTCTGGGGCCTGGCTTCTAGCAAGCTGGTCAGTGAAGGCTCGGCTTGCTAATCTGTTTAGCCTGAATTTCCTATTTATTTCAACTTGTGGACAGTGATGCAATCCTATAGCTGAACACCAGGAATAAAACTCAGGAAATTATGTGGCTGATTTCAATCAATGTGAGTGTTGTGGAGGAGTGGCCTGAGAAATTCTATCCCCCAATATAGAAAATAGTCTCATGGTGGGCAGCAAGCAGGAACTTAAAAAAAAAAATAATCTGCACTGAGGTGTTAAAAATCTAATTTATTTTTTTAACTACAGCTGGTAATGCCTTGTCAAATATTGGCAGCAAATTACTGCTTCCTTTTATGTTGCCCGGGGAAATGCAAGGAGCTAACTAACTAGAAACAGCAGCCTTAGAGCCACTGTCTACAAGGAACAGCGGAGCAGCTAGTTGAGTATGCTTCATTGCATAGATACTGTCTTTAGGAAAATGGTCTGCTTTGGAGCTTTAAACAGGTTTTGCTTGAATAAAAGCTAGCTTCAGATATTTCTCATTGGTTCTGTAGTGTCAACGTGTGTGTTCTGTTGAGGCAATATGCTTAGACCCAAAGTTTCAAAGATTAACCCATCTCTTCAAGAAATACTCTAACTGCCTGAGCAAAATTATTGAGTGGTTTGGATTGCTTATTTGTTCTCTCTCAAGTAGGGCTTTTTTATTTTGTAGCTGTCAATCAAGCAGCAGCTGCAGAATAAAGGCCATTATCTGGATGTGCTGTAATACCAAAACATCGTGATTTTTGTGTGCTTTTGCTTTTGCCTGCCAGTTTGAAATCCCATAGGCAAACATTTGGGAAGCACTGGATGACTTCAGCAAGATCTTGAGAAAAAAACTAAGAAGCACAGAGTTTCCCAGACTGGCACTCAAAAATAGGACCCTCAGTATTGCAGGATGCTTTGGGAAACTATTAAAGTGTGTCCAAATTTAACTTTATTTTTGTAGACATACCTGATAAATCTCTCTCAGCAAAAGGCCGGAGTGATGGTTTTTGGACAGCAAATTCTTAAGTGCCTTTCTGAGCTGAGCTCTCGCTCCTTTTTTGACATTACTAGTAAGAGAAAATCTGATGGTCAGTGGGTTTTGCAGTCCTAGATGTCTACATGGATTTTATCACTTTTGTGGTATTCATCAGTCATCTAGTTAGAGAATGTATTTTCAGGAAAGAAATGTAGAAAATTAGAGCTACATTTTACTGTTGGAAAATAAATGGGCACAGGCTTTGTAAGGAAAGCAGATGAGACTGAAAGAGATCTTTTGGGCTACAGTCAAGGAGAAAAGAGTTGAATGCTTACTAGAACTTAAATTACATTTTTTTCTCCATTTAAAAAAACCTCTGTTGCTTATTAAATATTTGAAAATCAGTTGAGTTGCCTCATTTCATGAATCCCATTTGTTCAAGTCATCAACAAGTAAATGAAGAAACTATAACAAAAACAGATCACAGTGAATTAAGAAAATAAACTGCAAAGTGAACAGATGCTTTCCAAGATACTGTTATAGATGTCTTTTCTGGCATTTCTGTATTTCATTGTTAATAATTTCCATGCAGTTTATTGAAACAGAGTGTGTTTAGTGCAAGTCCTTTACTGTCAAGTACAGGATTAAAAAGGCATCTGTAAAATGTTTAGCTCCTTAACTCTGTATTGCAGTACAGCTTTGGGAAGTAACCTTTAATGCAATACTGACTTTGTTAGTAAAGCTGCTTGGGGTTTCTTCCCTCAAATAATTCTGAGCCCTCCTTGTCAATCCATGTTATTCCTTTCGAGATTGAGGTGAGAAACCTTGAATGTTTTTTGACTGAAGACGACTTTGGTCAGAGCCTTCTTTTGTACATAATAGTGTGTGCATGGTTGCATAATCACACCCTTTTCTTGTAAAAGTTTGTTTCTATGCATTCGGGGTGGGCACATGGATATTCTGAGTGTTATACCTTTAATGAGAATTGGCCATTGAAAATGTTGCCTTGAATGTAGCGTTTTTCCTGTTCATTTCCATGAGAATAAAGTACCGAGACTTCAAGTGGACAAAATGAGCAAAATATCTCACTTCAGGAGATCTTACTGTTGGTTCCTAGCATAGGGATTAAGTGATCTAAAATGGCCTTTTTCCCATCCCTTTCCCATGAGTGTAAGGGGATGCGAGTCCTTTGCTAGGATGCAGCTCTAAGGTGGACACTGATATGGAACAAAGACACATCCAACAAAGTATCCAACAAAATGATGTAATGTTTTCTGCGGCAAGAAAGGTAAAACCGTGAAGTAATTATTCTAAAGAGGAAATGAAGATATTTGCCAGATGGATCAATGAAAGGCTTTGGGAGTATTTAGATGTGAAGTCAGCCAGAGTCTATCTCGGCAATCAGTAGTGAAGATGCTGTAAAACTGTGCTTGCTCATGGGACTGTGCCAGATGCCATGTTTTACACCTGAATCATCTGCAGGACATTGGTTAGAAAACAAAAAATCAAAGCTGTGACACTGGCCACAGGATGAGTTATTATTCAGCATAAGACAGTAATAAACCAGGAAATTCACTTCAGGTTTCCCTCTTCTTCAACTGCTTTTCCTGACCCTGTTTCCTGACAACCTGCTCTCTCCACCTAATTGTTCCTTTCCCTAATTCTGCAGGGGTTATTAAAAGGCATGGGCATGTTATCTTAGAATTTACTTTCAAATTTGGTAACTTCTAACTTTTTCTCAGTGGTAGGCTATAGGTGTGAGAATGTGATGTCTCCCTGACTGCTTGCCTCTGGCCTTAGGGAAATGTATATTCTACCATGAGAGAAAACATCTGGCAGTGTAATGAGAAATATTAAAATCCCTAATTAGTCAATCCCAAGCACCACAGCCAGGTCTATAAAAAAGACTTTGAGACCACAAGGAATCTTCAGTTCAGGGGACCTGCAAGAAAACCCATTACCAAGCCCTAGCAGACCCATAATATTCTCAGCAGCGACCATTTTCATGTGACTTTATTTTTGTTGCCACAAACAGTGATCTAAAAGAGGATGAATGAGAAACCCAAGCTCGGTTTTTCACTCTGCCACAGATGTCCCAGGTGATTCTGCCAACTCACTTTTGTTGGAATTCATTTCAGCTAACGTGAAGAAGCAAATTGTCTAAGCTTTCTTCTTACTTAAGGGAGCAAGGCAGTACCTCCAAAGGACAATTCATTCCACTTAGCTGAGGATGACAAGAGCCATGCTCTGGATGGAGATGCTGATCTCCATCCAGTCTCTGCAGCAAAGCCAGCTGAACTGGCTTACATAGAAACCTACAGAGAGCTGAAGTCTGACAATAGTGACAGGAATGGCTAGAAGGCTTAAACAAAAATACTTAGCACACAATATGTTCCCGCAGTGGTTGTCAAGACAAACAACAGAGATATGTTTGAAGACGGACTAGAGAAATTGAAGGCAGACAGATTCCAGAGCGATGATCAGCCATTGCAGTTTGGGTTCAGCTGGCGGCTCAGAAAGTTGCTGGCCCAGTCAGTGGGGAGAACAAATGGCAGGGAAGGCTCAACGTGTACGGGATACGTATGTATCTCATTCTCTTCCTCCTCTTCCTCCTGGTTACTGCCACAGACAGAAAAGGGAACAAAATGACTTGTAGTCTGATCCCGTGTGGCAGCTCTTTTCCACCTGTTGTTTGCTTCACCTTTTCCCAGCGTCTCATTTGCCCTCGGCCCTTGCATTGGCAGAAGCTTAGAGGCAAAGGTGCCCGTGAAAGGGAGGTTCGTCTGTTCAACATTTTGCCCTGTTCTCTCTTGTTACACCGTGGCCATTCACTGGTTGCTGTCTTTGTGGCTGGTACTTGAATAGCTGCAGTTCTACTATATTGTGCTTCATTTCACTGAGGTCCCTTTGCTGACAACTGTGCAGAAGCAGGCAAGGTAAGCAGTTCCAGGTGGAGGGAGTCTTTGCGGTGCAGAGGACAGGCGTGAACCCAGATCAGCAGAGGTTGAGGCTCTTCCTGCAGCTCCTGCCTTCTTGAGCACTCCCCGATCATTGCAAGCTCCGTAACTGGGAACTGTTGAAGAAAAGGATGGGGGAAACCCACGGTTGCATGTGACTCGGCCCAGCCAAATCCCAGCACTGTTTCCGATGCCATGAGCACCTTAGATGGGCTGTACGAAATCACCATAAAAGTTGGCAGTCAGCATCACTCGTGGCAATACTTGTGTCTCC